CTTCTTTTTTATGTTTGTCACTCTCTTGTGAACTGCTATTGCCAGGGTGCCTTGATAGTCGAAGCAGACTTTGTGCTGTTGAGACTAGAGAGTTTGAGCAGTGAGCAGAGTAAGGCTGGTTCCCCGTTTGGACTTCTTCGTTGATATCCACTCATTGGCACTCATAATAAGAACTTATGCAGTTGAGAGCGCAGTAAAACCTTACTAAATCTGACATGTGCTCATTTCTTGAAAATAAAAATAAGAGTTTCATTTCGGGATCATGGTGTGTAAATCGAGTACCACAGTCCCCCAGATTAATCCCACTATAGTAGGGCCTTAGTGTGCTACCTTAGCATCACAAAGTTCTATCTGACATTTTTTTGGCCATTTTGAATTACTAAGAACATGATATCAGAAACCAATGTTTTATCTGTTTATTCAAAATCATAAGATTATTCGGAGTAATTTTCAAGATATTCGAAAACTTGCAATCGAAAAAGCTTGACATGATGTGGAATTCAAAATCTTTGACGACAAATTTCTTAAAACTAGGTACTGAGCAGATAGAACTTTGTAACTCTGGGGTAACGAGTTGTTGAGGTGCACCTTGGCCCCGAAAGACACCAGGCTGTGACCCTCCGTGGCATTCGTGTAGGCCAAGTCTGTCATAATATTTTTCAAACCAACCGACAGTTGTTGACTTACGCTGTTTGCTCAACGTTCAAAACAAAATTATCATAAAAGAAGGGCCATAATATGATAAGAGAAAAAACTTTGAAACTCAGATGTCTTTTCCGCGAATCCTGTAGTCATGGTGAACATAGATCCCATATTAACTGCACGATCATTCACCAATCCCCCCCCCCCTCTCTCTCTCTGTCTCTGTCTGTCTGTCTGTCTGTCTCTCTCTCTCTCTCAATCTCTGTCTGTCTGTCTGTCTGTCTCTTTCTGTCTTTCTTTCTCCCTTCTTCCATCCACCCTATGTTTTTGTGTTTTTTACGGCGCTCGCAACTGCATAAGGTTATATTAGCGCGCGGGACATATTAAACATTTTCAGTTGGTAGGAAATTTTGAATTTGCCCGGGTGACGTCGAAGCTTTTCCCTTTCGTCAACCCGCAGCCACCTCCCGAATCGTCAGCCACCTCCCAACCTTTGACACGGGTCAAACTTCCATCTA